TCATTCATTAAGTGGCAGGTATTATGTTCCAGCCCAGGTTGGAGATGACCTGAAGGCCATAGTGTGACTTGAGCGTGAGGCCTGTGTATATTGAGGTGCACTCACAGCAGCATGGGCAGCTTTTGTGGGGGGGGGGGGGGTCCACAGGGTGATCAATCAGTCAGAGACAATCAAACAGCCGCTCAGTCAATCAGCAGGCAGGGCCAGGGGCGGGCCCCGCACGCCATGCTGCGAATTACTGAGGCAAATTGGCAAAACACGCTGCTAGAAACATCACAAATATCTCTTTCAGAGCACTACCAGTGCCATCAGAGCAAGAGCAAACAGGGAGGCGGATTGAAACTGAAGTGAAAATGCAGGAGGATTCAGGCCCATGAGATGTGTGTGTGTGAGTGTCTGTGTATTTACATGCACGTATCTGTGTGTGTGTGTGTGTCTGTCTGTCTGTCTTTGTGTACGCATGCACCTGTGTGTGTGTATTGATTCGTGTATATGCGTGAATGTGTTTGTGTTTGAATGTGTGTATGCATGTGCGTGTCTGAGTCGTTCAGTGTGTCTGTGTATTTATATATGTTTGTGTGTGTGTGTGTGTGTATGTATATGTGTGTGTGTGTATGAGTGTGTGAGTGTATCTACATGCACCTATCTGTGTGTGTGTGAGTGTGTGTGTGTGTGTAAGTGTATATACATGCACCTATCTGTGTGTGTGTGTCTGTGTGTGTGTGTGTGTGTGTGTGTGTGTGTGTGTGTGTGTGTGTATTTACATGCACGTATCTATGCCGCTGACAGCAACCCTAGGCAGCTTCTGGTCCTTTGTCTTCCTCCCCGTTTATTTGGGGATGGGTGTGTGATAGCATCTCTCCCTCTCTCTCTCTCTCTCTCTCTCTCTCTTTCGCTCACTCTCTCTACCACTGTGAGATGTTACAGCTCTGTCTGTGTGGGGGGGCTCTCAATTCGCCTGTCTCGCGGATGTAGGCGAGCTTTTGCTGGGATCTGCGTCTCCACCTCCCCCCACCCTCCTCTCTGACGGACGTGGAGAGCAGTGCTGGTAGAGGGAGCCATTGCAATCTCTTTCTTTCTCTCTTCCTCCCTCCCTCTCCTTCCCACCCTCGCTCTCTCTCGCTCTCTCTCGCTCTTGCTCACGTGCCGCTGCTCTGTCTCTCGGCATCGCTGCACCGCGCAGGAGTGTCTGCGTCTGCCGGACGCTGCCGGAGCTGCGGAGCTGTTTACGGAGAACTGGGCGACCGCAAGCCAGCGAGCCAGCACACGGGAGCAGCCGGGACGCGGGAGGACACCGTCGCTGCAGGCAGTCCCAGGGAGGAGTTGGCGAGGATCCACGCTGACGGAGGGGCGGCTCCTGTACGCGACGACAATCACCGAGCTGCCGGTCCTGAACACGGTGGCGGAGATGCAAGGAGATTCTCCCAGCACGGAGCATGGTGGTGGACGGGCGCTAACCTGAGCGACACCCCACCCCCTGACTCAGCACGCGAGCCCCCCACCTTTCCTTGGAACCCACCCCCCCCTCAGCGAGGAGAGGAGCGGCAGCCGGGATCAGATCGCCGTGCTGCAGCGGGCGCACAGACGGACCGACGGAGTGCCACTCTCAGTGGGATTTACAGCCCTCCCAGACCCGCGCTGCCCTTTCCAACTACCGTGTCCTTGGAGTACCGGAGCTCCTCAGACATCCCCGTGTGCGTCCCTGAGTATCTGCGTTGCTGTGTCTGACTGTGTGTGCTCCCTGTACGCCACGGTTGACTGTGTGTCTGTGCCTGTGTGTGTGTGTGTGTGTGTGTGTGTGTGCGTGTGCCCGTGTGACTGCACTCCTTGTGTGTGCGTGATTCCCCGCAATGCCTGCCACCTCTCTCCATTCTCCCGGCCCCCTTTGCTCACCGCCAAGGGCCTAACCCCCCACCCCCGGAGGCAGGATGACTGACGGCTCTGGAGCGACCATGTCGGGGGCCTTGGTTCTGGAGGAGCGGGATGGCAGTGGGTCAGGGGCCGGGGTGGGGCTGGAGCAGGCCTCGCCCCCTGAGGCGGGCCGGCCGCGCTGTGGGGGCTGTGCCCTGTGGACCCGACAGCAGACGTGGCTGTGCGTAGTACCGCTGCTCATTGGCCTGGTGGGCCTGGCGCTCAGCCTCATGCTCCTGCAGTGGATCGTGGTGGGCTCCGTGCCCGACTACGTTCCCACTGACCTGGTGGACGCCAAAGGCATCGGCCAGGACCCCATCTTCCTGTCCAAGCCCAGCGCCTTCCCCAAAGGACCGGCCACTACTACAGGAGGCGCTGCTGCCACCCCTGCCCCAGTCGGTCCGGCCTCCACCGCCATTGCTGCCACGGCGACAGCCAGACCCCGCCCTGGTGCCCGGCCGGGGCCTGCGGCGGGCAGCCAGGCCCCACACCTCCACAATCGTGTGGGGACACGGGTGACGGCGGCCATACTCCCGCCTGGCACCACCACCACCCGTTCGCCCCGTGTGGTCACGCCACGCAGCACTGTCAGGCGGCCTGGTGGCCGCAACGGCGTGTCCTCCTCCACCAGCAGGGCGGCGCTACCCTCGTCTGCCCCCTCGCCCTCCAGCCACCCTGTCCTCCACAACTCTGGTCAGACGCAGAACCACGAGCGCCCCAAGGGACCACCTGCCACACCAGCCCGGCCACACACCCATACCAAGACATGTAAGTCATCCTATTGGTTTCCTCCCATCTGCTAAGTGTTCTGATTGGGTTCCTATTTTTTAAGTGATGCGATTGGTTTCCTCTTCTTTGCTAAGTGATCTGATTTATTGGTTCCCCATTTGCCAAGTGTTCTGATTGGCTTTCCTCTATTTGCAAAGTGACCCTCTCAGTCTCCTCCCGTTTGCTAAGTGACCCATTCAGTCCTGATGGGGGTGCAGTGTTTCCTGGAACCTACAGGCTGGGTTCTCTCTCAGATTGCTCATTTACTTTGGGTGTTGACTTGTGCCCATGGAAAGGTCCAGTTGGGTTCTGACAGGAGTTGCCGCCTGTGGTTTTTGGGTCCTTCTTGTGTGACTGTTATGCTCAATTACATGTGATGTTCTCACAGGTGCTGGGCCTGTGTGCATTCATGTGTGCTTGTGTGTGGAGGTTTTACATCCAAAGTTCTATCAAGCTAGCAGAGGTTGGTCCAATGGACATGCAATAATCTGTGTGCGTTTAAGGTGTGTTTCACAGGTGTGTGTGTGTGTGTGTGTGTATGTCTGTTCATTAGGTGTGTAGTAGGTGTGTATGGGTTTGCATTTATCACATTGCAGGACCAAATGTTCCCACAATGTAGTCACTTTTTAGCTTGGGACATTTTCAGGTCCCCACAGAATAAAAAACCAAAAAAGCCAAAAGTCTTGCATTTTGTTTGGTTACTTATAGTTAAGGTTAGGGCTGGATAAGGTGTTTAAGTGTTTATTTTTGGACCAAATGTTCCCACAATGTGATAAATAACTGTTATTTTGACGTTGTGGCTACCATTATTTTAGTCCCCACAAGCTGAAATTAAGTTTTCTAAAAATCTGTGACTGCAAACAAAAAACTAGAAATGCTAAAGTCGTGTATTTAGTTTGGTTACTTATGATTAAGGTTAGGGCTGGGTAGGGTTAAGGTGGTCGTGTTGGGATTAGGGTTTTGCCCATAGAAATGAATGGACAGTGCCTGTGTGTGTGTGTGTGTGTGTGTGTGTGCGTGTGTGTGTCTGCTTCAGCTGAATGTCTGGCTCCTACCCGACTCCCCCCCCGTCCGTGCTTCAGCCATCTTAGGAGCCTCAAAGCCTTCCTGATTAAACAAACCCCTTCCTGCTCTCAGTCTGCCGTCCCCCCTCTACCCTCTCACACAAAGCCACAGGCTCCCCGAGCGATGGGGGCAGGGGAATAATGTGGACCATCACACATCCACGTCGTGTGACCCGCTAGAGGACTTTGGTGTTGGTGGGGGGGGGCTCCATTTAGACAGGCTTAGCCACACACTCGGAATCGGTAAAAGGCAGGAAGACTGCGGCATGCGGGGGCCACACACACGGCAAGGGAGGGGCATGTAACACCACACACACGGCACGCTGATTAAGGGGTGGAGCCAAGGATGGGAGAGGCCCTCCAATGTATCACTCCCCGCAGCAACCTCCTGTCGGCCAATCGCAGGGACAAATCGCAACCACACACACACAGCAAGGGAGAGGCATGTAACACCACGCACACGCTCTCATTCACACGGTCACTAGCCGAACTGAGATGAAACACGACGCAGGGTGATCTGTTCTCTGGGTTCTCTGACATCCTCAATCATCTGATAGCTTTATGTATCTACAAATGAAGCAAAATATGGAGATATAAGGATGATCGTGACAAGCTAGGAATGAGGATCACCTTAGATACACAGAGTTAAGACCACACCCCTCCTAAGATCACACACCCCTAACACCACACCCCCTATGATCACACCCCCCTAAGACCACACCCCTCCTAAGATCACACACCNCCACACCCCTCCTAAGATCACACACCCCTAACACCACACCCCCTATGATCACACCCCCCTAAGACCACACCCCTCCTAAGATCACACACCCCTAAGACCACACCCCTCCTAAGATCACACACCCCTAAGACCACACGCCTCCTAAGATCACACACCCCTAAGACCACACCCCCCTAACATCACACACCCCTAAGACCACACCCCTCCCAAGATCACACACCCCTAATACCACACCCCTCCTAAGATCACACCCCCCTAAGACCACACCCCTCCTAAGATCACACACCCTTAAGACCACACCCCTCCTAAGATCACACCCCCCTAAAACCACACCCCCTAAGATCACACATCCCTAAGACCACACCCCTCCTAAGATCACATCCCCCTAAGACCACACCCCTCCTAAGATCACACACCCCTAAGACCACACCCCCTAAGATCACACACCCTAAGACCACACCCCCTAAGATCACACCCACCTAAGACCACACCCCTCCTAAGATCACACACCCCTAACCCTAACCCCCTAAGATCACACACCCCTAAGACCACACNCACCCCTAACCCTAACCCCCTAAGATCACACACCCCTAAGACCACACTCCCTAAGATCACACCCCCCTAAGACCACACCCCTCCTAAGATCACACCCCCCTAAGATCACACACCCCTAAGATCACACACCCCTAAGACCACTCCCCCTAAGATCACACACCCCTAACCCTAACCCCCTAAGATCACACCCCCTAAGATCACACACCCCTAACCCTAACCCCTTAAGATCACACCCCCCTAAGATCACACCCTCCTAAGACCACACCCCCGTAAGATCACACACCCTTGAGACCACACCCCCTAAGATCACAGTCGCACGCCTGATCTTCATCCTTCTGTGCTGCAGCTCCCTGCTCCTGACAGAGCTCTGTCTGGCCAGTCAGTGTAAATTACCAGTAAAATAATTAAAGGTTTTTGATAATTACATCCAAAAGATAGTGTTTGTTCATTCATTACCTTCACCAATCACATATTCCATTAATCAGTAGTGTTATTAATTAACAATACAACAAAAGTCGTCTCAGTCCTGGCAGGGTGATGCAGGTTCTCTGACCGTCTTGTCCGGCGCAGGTCCCTGTGTGTGTGAGAGAGGCTCCGCCCCTGCAGGCCGCTGACAGATGGCTTGGCTGGATGAAGGGGTGGTCTTAAGAATGCCTGTGTGTGCTGATTGGAGGGACTTGATCAGAGTGACATGTTATTGGGTGGCGTGGGAGCTGGCCGGGTAGCATCACGTACAGTACCTTTCTCTCTGAAGTCTCTATTTCTTACCTCGCTGTCTTTCTCTGGTTCTCTTGCACACCCGCCCTCCTCCCTCCCTCTCTCCTTTCCTTTTTAGATTTTTCCTCTGTACCTACCCGTCTTTCGTCTCTCCCTCCATCCCTCTGGCCCCTACTTCTTCCCTCCTCTCCCCACCTCCCTGGCCTGTCCTCTCTCTGTCTCTCTCTCTCTCTCGCCCCCTCCCTCAGTATATAGATTTTTTTCCTTGCTGGTGGAGAGCTTTCACTGTGGCAAATGTATACTGGCCATGTTGCCGACGGCAACCCACCCCACATAATCCACAATGTCCTAAAAGGCCTTTGAACTTTGCCCTTATTGGGAATTGTTCCTGCCCGTATGAGCTAAGGGACATAAAGCCTTCAATCTCACAAGCCACCCCACTTCCCATCCACCTCCAGCTTCTCTAGCTCCCTGTAAATGAGCTGCAAAAAGGCCGATACTTCATGAAGACGTTAGATTTCTGGGTCTCGTAATTGAATAATCCCGCCATTGCCGTCATTAAACTGCTTCACCGCCGTATTTAGCTGTGCGGTCTTGCAGGGGGCTCTTTTGTTCTTTCCCAGGGTGCACTTCTCCTTCCATCAGGAGACAGACCCTGCAGCGACCTCCGCGAGCCCGACGCTGCGGAAGCGGGCCAAACGACACGCGCATGGCAGGAATCCGATTACCGCGCCACTAAGAGGATTGCTGGGCCGGGAGGGAGCTGTCTCATGTCTCGCCTCGTGAATTGCCGTTTTTTTTTTTTGCCTTGAATCCAGCGTCAACATATTTATCCCATGCAAGACGACCATGGAGTTGTTAGCTTTGAAGGATGGTTTCAGAGTGTGGTCTCAGGGTGGAACAGGGCCGGCTCTCTGGCCCGTGACATCGAGCAAGGACCTCAGGGATTCCTGGCACACGATGTACGGGGGGGAGTCTGTAGGGCGGGAGCCTCGGGCCCTGGGAATGCCGACAGGCACACCAGCACTCTAGCGAAGGGTAAATGTCCTCTTTCTCCACAGTCATAGAATAATGAGACAGAATTTAAACTTAATTCAGCTTGAAGGCCGTCTCAATAATCCTTAAAGTCACTTTGATTAATCTAGATGAAGTCCGAGGGGGGTGGGTGTGGCTCTAAAATATTAATACTCAGAAAGAGGAGTGTGCCGGCCCAGAGAGGAGGCGTGAATAATAGACGAGGCTCAGCGGAGAGCAAGCCGAGCCCAGTGAGAGAGCCGGACCGCTCTGCCAGGTGCCGCTGCTGCCTCCCTCAGCTCTGCTTCTCTGGCCGTCTCCCTCACGACGCGGCCCGTGATGGAGTGCCTCGCCGGGAGGGGGGCCCATCTCCCCGGGCCGGTGCTTTAGAATTCATTGGCTTTCGCTAAATGTGATTGAAAGACTTTGCT